TGTGTTCACTGCTGTGTGTGTGCACTTTGGATGGGATAAATGCAGAGCACTAATTCCGAGTATGGGTCACCATACTTGGCCACATGTCACATGTCACGTCACAGAGCAACACTTCCTCACCAGCTGCCCTAACTATGAAGAAATTAGAAAGACATTTTATCCAAAATATGAAATACTTTACCCTGACTTCAAAATGTTAGACAAGAAAACACAACTTCAATATTTATTAGGTGAAAAACAAGATTGTATCTTACTAGCAGCAAGATACATTGATGCCTGTCACAAAAAGAGGGAGGAGTCAACAAATATATTGAATTGAATTGAATTGAGAGAGTTTGTGTTTGTGTGAGTGAGAGAGAGAGAGAGTGTGTGTGTGTGTGTATTTGTGTATTTGTGTATCATGTGTTTATATATTGATGGTGTGTGTGTTCAGTGGGCAGCGGGCGATGTCGGGGAAGGAAGCGGTCAGCAGCAGCAGTGGGTGGGCTGGACACTGGTGGGCGGGGCCGCAGCAGCACACCTGCAGCACAGGTGAGAGAGAAAGCTGAAGAGCGGCGCATCATCCACTGGACTCCTATAAGCACACGTGTGTGTGTGTGTGTGTGACTGTGTGTTTGTGTTTCAGACGAGAAGGAAAGTGCCAGAGCCTGGAGAAGATGACGATCAATCGGAGAAGAAGTTCAGGAAGTGTGAGAAATCCGGATGTCCTGCGACGTACCCTATGTGTTTCGCCAGCGCATCTGAGAGGTGTGTGAGAGAGAGTGTGTGTGTGTGTGTGTGTGTGTGGTGTGACAGAGTGTGTGTCAGTGTGTGTGTGTGAGTGAGTGTTTCTGTGTGAGAGTGTGTGTGTGTGAGTGTTTCTCTCTCTCATGTCATTTAAATCCATTGCTGTGTTGAGTATGGGAGGTGAGTGTGTTTAACTGATAGTAATGATCACTCAAACGTCTTCCTCAGGTGTGCTAGAAACGGCTACACGTCGCGCTGGTATCACCTGTCGTGCGGCGAGCACTTCTGTAACGAGTGTTTTGACCATTACTACAGGAGGTGAGTGCTGATGGCTAACGAGGCTAATGCCTGCTGCGTGACATGCTAACTAGGGGTGTGCACAAATAGTCGAATATTCGATATGTAATTATTATTTGGAAAGTAAAAACACAATTCGAATTTTACTATGTGTTGCTTTGCTGGCCGTAAATGCAGGGAATCATGATAAATGCTGAGATAAATCTGCACTGGGTGGCGCTCTGGAGCGTGTTTACAAGTTGATTGTATTTGATCACAGAATGTCGTCGTCTGCCTCGTTTGGAATTAGTTTGATCAAAATTATCTTATTAAATGTTCTTACAAAATGGAATTACTTTTGATCAAATGAATCCGTGAACATATGCTTCCTTTAAGTTTCCTGGAGAGAGTGCTTTAAGAACAGAAAACACACAGCGCTGTAAGAAACTCCGTCTGTGTCGACGCACGTTCTTATTGTTATTAGACTGAGGAGCCAACTTTCATGTGGATATTATTGTTTTTCTCAACATTAACATGCTATGGAACGTTATAAACACGATAAACTGGCCGACTCGAGTGTATGTTCTGTACTGTAACTTGCACGGTCTGCTTTATTTTTTCTGTTTGCTCTGCTTGAGATTGAATGCTTTTGTTCTTTATATATATATATTTATATTTTGTTTACACACGTTTTCAACTGAAAGAAAACCTTGAGATATAATGTGAAGTTGCTGTAGTACAGTGTTGTGTATGATGCCTAATCATAAGCTTGTTCAGAAATGGTGACAAAAACTTGATTATTAAAAAAAACCCGTCTCAAACCTCATTTAAATAAACATTAATTTTTTTATGAGCCCAAATATTGGAATACAGTATTTTTGAAAAATGTCCATCCCTAATGCCAGGCGTGCGTCTGTGCTCCTGCAGTCATAAAGACGGCTACGAGACCTTCTCCTCGTGGAAGCAGGTTTGGACCAGCAATGGGAAGAGCGAGCCCAGCCTCAAAGCCTTCATGGCCGACCAGGAGCTGCCCTACTGGGTGAGAAACACTTCAGCCTTCAGCTGAACATCAGAGCAGTCCAAACTCAACCGTGTTCATGCAGTGGGATTAAACTAATGGTTTGATGCTTGTTAGAGTATTGTGTTATTAGCTTAGTCACTGGGGTTTCAGTTGCTAACTACACTAGTTCATGTTAATTTCAACATATACCAACACATATCTGTTAATATTAGTATGTTGCAGGTCAATTTGACCCATAACACAAAATGAGTTGTCAGAAATACTGGTTAACCTAAGATATATTTTTTTTACATTTTGTGACGATTTCTCATTTAGGGTTATGAACAAAGTTTTTTTTTTTTTTTTTTTTTTGTATAAAATAATTTTTTTTTTTTTTTTTTTTTTTAAGCTGTACGGACCCAAAATAATAATAATAATAATTTAAAAATGTATGTATTTTATTATGTCAGGTTCTTAAATGTCCTCTGAGGGTATTTACATTTATGCATTTTGCAGACGCTTTTATCCAAAGAAAGGTGCAAAGTGTTGAAGGTGTAAGTGATCAGTTCAAGCGTGGTGATTTCACTGTAAATCAAACTCTGGACCTTGACGTTGCAAGCAGCATGCTTATCAAAAGCACAAAAAAATAAAATTAATTAAAACAACTTTTTTTTTTTTAAATGTACCTTTAAAATAAAATAAAAAAATAGTTGCATTTTTTTTATAATATTCACAATTAAAAAAAAAAAAAAACTATTTCAAAATAGCTGTTAAAAAAAAGTATGTACTCGTGTTTATTTTTTTGGAATGTGTGCGAGGTATTAATGTTAAAGGTTTTTACCTGTCTTGTGATTTTTGGTGAATTGTATTGAATCCAGTTAGGGACAATTTAAACAAACAAATCATAACATAAAAATCAATCCCAGAATTTGAATATAATACAAGTGTTAATGCACTGTGAACTAACATGAACGAACGATGAAGTCTGTATTTTTGTTGAACTAACATGAACTCATTCTGATAAGTGCTGTAAAGATGTATTATTAGTTCATGTTAGCTGATGCATTAACTAGTGTTGATGAAGGGCACATTATTGTGTAGAGTTAAGTGGAGTTTCGCGCAGGCGTAGAGTCTCTTATCTCTCCAGGATGACTGAAGACGTGTGGCTGGTCATCGTGTGTTTCTCAGGTTCACTGCACTAAAGCAGACTGTGGTAAATGGCGTCAGCTGAGTAAAGACACGCATCTGTCGGCCGCGCTGGCCTCCTCGTACCGCTGCGGGATGAAGTTCAACAGCAGCAAAGTAAGCAGCGCTTCATGGCCCGTCTGATGCTGGCGCGTGTGCGCTCTCTCACATCTGTGTGCTTGTGCTCCGCAGGCGGAAGGAAGTGATGCGTGCTCTCAGCCGGAGGACCTGGTAAAACCCTGAGCGCACATTAAAACACCAGATCATGTCCTGAAATGTGTTCGTGACAGATGGTGCACAAAACTACATCTACCTAATAATGCTCGACATGACTCCATTCATATGAATTAGTGTTGTGAAAATAGTTTAATTGGATGCACATTTTCCACATCAACAGCTAAAGCAGCTTAAACTTGTTGGTATCATAGTTGTGCATGATTATATGGTTAGTTGCATGTCATTATTATTTCCTGCTGTCCGTCACGCATCAGAACCAGTTGAGATGCTCAGCTTCATGTGTTCACCCACATGTGTGAAAAAGCATGCATCCTAGCCAGATGTGAAGCAGTCATGCTGTAACCTGATTGGCTGGATGAGCTGCAGCAGGAGGATCTGATTGGTGGTTTGGTGTGTGTGTTGCGTGATCAGCGAGTGGCCGGTGTGACAGACAGCTGGTGGCTCTCTATGCTCATCCTGCCGCCGCTGTTTAAGGACAGTCCCGCCACTCCGTTCCTCTCCTGCTATTACCCCGACTGCGTGGGCATGAGCCCGTCTGCCTCGCCTAGCAACCATCCCCCCGGCAACCAGCGGCCCGAGCAACGGCGAGCTGCTCAGCCTCACAGTGAGTGCAGAACCGTCGGTCATTCACAAACAGTGCTTTCATCATCCACTCACATGATCAGATTATTGACAGAGGTGGATTTAATACAGACACTGCAGGCAAACCAGGGTTTCTTCACGCAGTGGTCAATTTTGGAAAGAAAACATCCGAAATACACATTTAAGTGTTTGTTTTATTGCACTTTATCTATTTGTGTGAAGATTTCAATCTCAATCCGTATCTTTAAAGAGTTTTGTCTCTTACAAACAGCAAACGTTACAGTTTTTTCCTCTCTATGTTCTCAAGGTTTGTTCATATTTCATTCACACTGATTTATGCAACATTTTACTGATGAAAATCTGTTGACAGTATTTTCTGATTTATGATAAAAAGAGAAATCCCAAATCCCCTCTGGAAAAACCTTTAACTCTAATATGACTATAAAATCAAACAAGAACCGATGTTTAGATTTCTGTTCTGGAAATTCATGCAAATTAGTGCATATTTAATTAGATTTAATGCTTAATTGGCATATTTAAACAAAGCACTTATAATACAAAACAATTGTCTTAAAGGGTTAGTTCACCCAAAAATGAAAATTAGCCCATAAATTACTCGCCCTCAAGGCATCCTAGGTGTATATGACTTTCTTCTTTCAGACGAATCCAGTCGGAGTTATATAAAAAATGGTCTTTGATCTTTCAAGCTGTTTAATGGCACCTGTGATTAACCACTGATGAAGTATGCTGATATATATTAGTTCATGTTTACTGTGGTGTCTTCTTGTAATTGGGGTTTATTCAGCAGATATTGGCTTGTAAGTGTGAACAGTGAACGTCACCGTGTGTGTGTGTGTGTGTGTGTGTGTGTGTGTGTGTGTGTGCTGATAGAGGAAGTGGCAAAGGCGGGATCTGAATTTATGCCATTGCAATTTAAGTGTTAAAATTAAAGCTGATGCACGCTTTCCAGTGCTTCACCTGAATGGATAAAGACCAATATAATTTTAGTTTTGTAAGCCTGCATTTTTACTTTTTGTTTCAGTGACCTAGAAACAAAAAAAAAATAGAGAGACAGTTCTTTACTGATTATGGTTATATAAAAAATGTGCATATGGGATGCATTGCACATTTTTGCTTGAACCCCTGTTAGGGAAAAAAAAAAATTCTGTATTGCATGTGACCAGCATATAATGTATACTGGAGCAGCCTTCTAAACAAGCTTAAAGGGAAAGTTCACCCAAAAACGAAATTCTTGACATTATTTATTATCTCTCAAACCTGATTTTCTTCTGTGAAACATAAAAGATATGAGAAAAGTTGACATGAGACATGAGATTTGAGAAGAGAAATTTCAGTGGTTCACTGTCTTCTCAGCAGCGACCACCTTAGACAAGCTCTATGATAAACAGTCTTATTGGCCACCATCAGTGCTTATTCATGCTGTTGTTTACATCTCACAATTTCAATTCAGTGATTCATAATTTTCTACCTCACAAATGCAGACTCATGACCTACTTTCACCTGTCAAACACTTAAACAATTAAAGAACTGTGTCTGCATTACAGTATTTCCACTGAAATACATTAATGTCATATTTATTTTTTTGCTTGAAAGCCATCTTTGATTGCATTTTGGACATGGTAGCTGCTTATAAAAACTTAAGGTCCCGTGCTTCACTTGACTGCCTCTCCTCCCTTATGTTGGTACTTTACTGCTCACTCTTGATTAGCTCCTAATACATGTGCTTTTCATAAGACACTATGACTTTGGCCTCATTTCTCTCTAAATCATCTGCTCTTGTTCCATCTCTCTCCTCATCTCTGGCCGCCCCACTTCCTGCAAGCACA